AAATATTTTCTTAATTTACCTTATTTTTTGTTTTTTTAAATTTTTATTTAAATTTATAATTTAAACATAATTTAAAAAAGATCAATGATGGACAAAAACAAAAATAAGAAATAGAAAAAGAAAAAAGAAAAAAATGGACTCGAGACACGCACCCTTTTTCCCTAATTTTCTCGCAGTTTCAAAGAGATTTTCTCTCAACTCTACTCTACTCTACTCTACCCTACCCATTCAATCTATTCAAACAAGTAGAAGAACAAAATATGCAAAGCCAATCTACGCACATGTAGATATACATATATATGTGTTAAGGAATCATTTATATGTAAGTCCTAGTTTATAAATTTATACTCTATAAAGTTCTAACAAAGATTTTTTAGATTTTTAAGTCTTATTAAATTTTTAATAATCAAAATTGGCCTTCAAATAATGATTGTAAATCATTTATGATTATCTATAAAGGAACATGATGATGTGATATTTATTTTGATTTTCAAAATTTTAAAATATCAATTTTCAAATTGAAAAAAATTTATAAAAAAAAATTATGTGCAAAAAAAATAAATAAATAATTTTTTTTTTGAAAAACTAAATTTTTTTGTGCAAAATAAAGGAGCATGAAGATGGAACATTGATATGCAAAAAAAAAAAACATTTAAAAAAAATTAAAAATGTTCCCAGTTTTAAAATTATGAAAAATTGAAAATGTTATCGATTTTATTAAATAGTTGAATCAAACCAATAAGTAGAAAAGCAAAAATGTTTAATCTCTCATTCTCTTTTTTTTTATCAGTTAGTGAAATAATTATCTAAAACATTACTCCACAAAATTGATAATGTTCTTAATTTTAAAAATTGAAAAAAAAAAACTAATACATTATCAGTTTTATGAAATAGGACTTATTGGTTCAAAAAGTGTTAGATAAGATCTAAGTTATAATAATATTTATAAATAAGACTTTTAAGTAATTAATTCTATATTTAATTATTTATATAAACCAAACTTGATAATGATTGCAGTGATCAATATTATCGGAAATTGAGTGACAGAATTTATACCAGACTTTGTCTTAATTGTAATTGAGCTATTAGGTTAATGGACCAGATTGGTCCGTTTAAGGCCGGGCACTGAATTATTAAAAAATATATATTTTTTATAATAACTTAATCAATCATTTCATGTCCACGATAACTCATCATAATGATTGTAAATCAAGTTATGATCGAATCAGTTATAAACTGATAAGTAACGTGAACTAACCGATGTGCATATTATATGTATGCCACCCAATTATCAGTATTAAAAGATTAAAAATTTAATAATTAAAAGTGGATATTTAAAACCATTGGCATGTCCAAAAAAAAAAAAATTAGGTGTAGCGACCTTAATTTTTCGTAAGTCATTATTTATTATTATTATTTTATTTTATTTTTAACTTTATTAATTACGTGGTAACATGAGTATTTAATGTGATATTTAATTAATTTAATGTGTTATTTAATTATATATAATTAATCTGAATATTTATAAGTTTATATTTGCTATATATATAAAAAGAAAAGGGTGTTTTATATATTGATAAAATATATATCATATTTATATATATGTTGTATTTATGATATATTTGTAAGATATAAATATAATAGTAAATAAGGTATATATAATATACTAGACCTAGTAATCACAAAAGTATATGTGTAAAAGTTTTCCAAGAGAAGCAACAGCCACAGGACAAAAACATTATTCTGAACACTTTTCGTGTTTTAACATTTCTAAAAAAAATCATCGTAGGGCAGTTTCTTTTCGTTTTCAGCATCAAATTTTTAGGTTGAATTCTGTTTAGGTTCTTTTATCAAGTTTTTTTCTCTCAACCTGTTTAGTTTCTACTAAATTCGTTCATAATGCCTTTTAAGAAATTTGATTTTGTACAACTTTTGTTCTTTGAGTTTTGGTCAATTCGAATGATTTGAGCATGAAACGGTGCATTTTATTTCACCCCTAGGATTTGGATGATGGAATATTGATTGGGGTTTAGTCCTAATGCAATATTTAATTTTCAAAATTTTGGGGTATGACAGTTTGGTATCAGAGCTCTAGGTTACCCTAGGTTAGCTGGTTTAGTTTGGTGGTTGAATTTATTCTAAATATTTATGAACGAATTCTTTTTGTGTGTTTAATTTGAAGGTGATGACTGGAAGGTATCTTTAACCTTTTCCAAGAACCAATTACAGTACTTTTTGATACTGGTGCCTCTCATTCTTTGATATCTAGACAGTTTGTAGAAAGAGAACACATTGTAACTACCTCCATATCTAGACCTATTCGTGTTGAGACCCCTTTATGAGGGACAGTTGCTCTTTATGAGATGTATAAAGATTGTGAGATTGACTTTGCAGGCGGAGTCTTGTATGCGGACCTAATTGTTTTAGGGTTTGAGGGGTTTGTAATTATTTTGGCTATGGATTGGCTGCAAAAACACTTTGTGACTCTAGATTGTGTTGGAAAGACTGTGAATATAGATAATCCCGGTATTCCACGGCTTATTCATACTTCTAGCGATAGAGAAAAGTCGATAATGACGAGTTTTCTATGTTCGGTAGAAATCTTCAAGTAGGATATTATGAGGTAGATGTGCTACGTGAGTTTGAGGATATATTTAAGGAGATACTTGTACCTCCACCTTGACTGGTAGTAGAACTTTTCATTGACTTAGTGCCGGGAACTGCACTGATTTTTAAGGCGGCATACAAAATGGTACTTAACAAGGTGACTATCAAGAACAAGTATCTGCTACCTAGAAATTAGAATTGATGACTTGTTTGATCAGATAAAGGGGGCAGTCGTGTTCTCTCAGTTTGATCTCAGAACGGGTTACCATTAGATGGGTGTGGCAAAGGAAAGTATACCACTTACTACTTTTCAGACCTGATATGGGTTGTACGAATTTCCTGTAATGTCTTTTGGTTTGACAAATGCTTCTACATATTTCGTGGACTTGATGAACAAAATTTTTCAACTGTATCTAGATAAGTTTGTGATTATCTTCATAGATGATATCCTGGTGTATTTTGAGAATGAGGAAAAGCACAGAGAACACTTGAAAGTCATGTTACATACTTTGAGGGAATAACAGTTATACACTAAGTTCAATATGTGTCACTTTTGAGAGAAAGAAGTTCGATTTTTTGGACATGTTGTGTCTAATCAGGGGATAACAATAGATCTTGAGAAAGTTGTTGCGATCAAAGAATGGAAATAGCCTACAAATCTTTCAAAGGTGAGAAGTTTTTTAAGACTAGCCAATTATTACAAGAGATTTATAGAGAAAGTTTTTCACTATTACAGCACCATTGACCAAGTTGACCCGTAAGAATGTGAAGTTCTTATGGATAGATGATTGTGAGAGAGCTTTCCAGGAGTTAAAGTAGCAGTTGACTATAGCTCTAGTGTTAACTATACCAGTACAAGGAGAAAAGTTAGTAGTGTTTACTGATGTGAGTGGAACTGGGTTGCGATGTGTGTTGATGCAGTATTAGAAGGTTGTATCTTATGCTTCTCAACAGTTAAAACCTCATGAGAGACGATACCCTACTCATGACTTAGAGCTGGCAGCTATTGTTTGCGTTAAAAGTGTGGCTACACTACTTGTTTGGGGAGCGCTTTGAGTTGTACACAGATCACAAGAACCTCAAATATCTTTTTTTCTCAAAAAGAGTTGAACATGAGGCAACAGAGGTGGGTTGAATTCGTTAGTAGTTATGATTTCACGATCCTTTTTCACCCGGGGAAAGGAAATGTGGTCGCAGATGCACTTAATCGACAACATGGGATTATAGTTTCTTTGATGATTCAAGAATGGAAGTCTTTGGAGTTAGTTTCAATGCATAATGTTCAATCAATAGAGAGTGTCGAGAGGGCATACATTGGTAGTTTGACTATGCAGCCGACGTAATTGGGTAAAGTTCGTCAGATACAGTATTTAGATAGGTTCCTCGTCAAAAAGCTCAATGACCTTGTAGTGGATTTTGTCGATGATTGTCCTACTGATTGGTCTGTGGACTTTGATGGGGGATTGCGATTCAAGGGCAGGTTGTGTGTACCTAACATTGTTAAATTGAGGAAAAAGATTATGGATGATACCCACAGGTCTTGATATACCATTCACCTTTGTACGACAAAGATGTATCATGACCTGAAGATGACGTTTTGGTGGGAAGGTATGAAGAAGGACGTAGGAGTGTATGTTTCTTAATGCTATGTGTGTCAACAGGTTAAAGCAGAACACCAACGATCGTCTGGACTTTTGCAACCTCTCAAAATCCCTACTTGGAAATGGGAGTACATCTCTATGGATTTCGTGGATGGATTGCCGCGGTCTAAGTGAGGTCATGAATCTATTTGGGTGATAGTGGATCGACTCACCAAGTCTGCTCATTTTATTCCTATCAGTGTTCACCGAACTGCGGATAAATTGGCTAGGCTATATATTCGGGAGGTGGTGCTACTTCATGGCGCACCAGTTTCTATAGTTTCGGATCGTGATCTGTTGCTTGTGGCAGAGTTTTAGAAGAGTTTTCAGCGTGCTTTGGGTGCTAGGTTGGACCTGAGAACAGCTTATCATTCTCAGATAGATGGGCAAACTGAGTGGGTAAATCAGATCTTGAAAAACATGTTGAGAGCTGGTGTCCTCGATCTTAATGGTAGTTGGGAAGAACACTTGCCATTGGTGGAGTTTGCTTATAATAATAGTTATCACTAAGAATCGGGATAGCACATTTTGAGACTTTGTATGGGAGGCCATGTCAATTACTTGCTTGTTGGATGGAGGTAGGAGATGCGCCGTTACTAGGGCCAGAGTTTGTGAGCGAGACCACAAAAAAAGGTAAACATTATTTAGGAATGTATTAAAATTGCACAGAGTCATCAAAAGAGTTATGCTGATAGAAAACGTAAGGGGGTTGAGTTGAATGTTAGAGATTTTGTGTTTGTGAAAGTCTCACCGATGAAGGGTATCATGCGGTTCGAAAAGAAGGGAAAGTTGGCACCTAGATTTGTAGGACCATACAAGATCACTGAGAAGATTGGTATTGTAGCTTACAAATTAGCCCTACCACTTGCTTTAGCTATGATTCACAATGTGTTCCGTGTATCTTTATTGCGGAAATGTGTGCAAGACCCTTCCCAAGTAATACCACCAGAAGTGTTGGAGATTAGTGATGATCTAACGTATACGGTGCGACCGGTTACTATTCTAGACCGAGATGTAAAGCAGTTGTGGCACAAGAAAGTGAACTTGGTGAAAGTGCAATGGAGCAAGCATGAGAATGATATCACTTGGGAATTGGAAGAGAAAGTTCGGCGTATGCACCCGGAGCTTTTTGCTTAGTATTCTCTTCTATCAAATCTTGGGACGAGATTCCTTTAAGGTGTGTATATTGTAGCGACCCTGATTTTTTGTAAGTCATTACTTATTATTATTACTTTATTTTATTTATGGCTTTATTAATTGAGTAGCTACATAAGAATTTAATGTGGTATTTAATTAATTTAATGTGTTATTTAATTATATATAATTAATCTAACTATTTATAAATTTATATTTTTTATATATATAAAAAAAGGGTGTTTTATATATTAATAAAATATGTATCATATTTATATATACGTTGTATTTATGTTATATTTGTATGATATAAATATAGTAGTAAATTAGGTATATATAATATACTAGACCTAGTAATCACAAAAGTGTGTGTGTGAAAGTTTTCCAAGAGAACCAGCAGCCACGGGAGAAATTGAGAGAGTAGAGAGAGAGAGAGAGAGGAGAAATGGAAAAAAAAATTAGGGTTTTATTTTAGTGGCTTTATTAATTCTCTAAGTGATTCTTTGATCTTCAAAAAAATATTATGAGTGCAAAACTCACTTTCCTTGATTTATGTTTATTGTGTTGTTATTATTTATTTATTTTTATTTATCTAATATTAGTTGGATATTGTATTTATATAAAGATGATGGATTGATTTTAATTATTTTGATTAGCTGTGTATGCAAAGTTTAGGATTTTTATATATATTTATTTTATGGTTGTAATCACACTCATGATTATATGAAATTAAAATAAATTAAGAATCCATAAATAAATTTCTTACACTCCACCATGACTCCATAGATTGTTGTTTTTTTTTAGTGTTGGTGAGAAAGAGAGTATAAAAAAAAAGGGGTGGATTATGATTTTTATTCGAATGCCTTAGGCTTGGCATTGTTATGTTTGTTCTCATGAGTAGATGAAAGATTGTGTATATATATTGTTGCCTCATTCTTAGGAGTAGACGAGTGCTTTGATTTACGCACGTACGTATATGCTAACCATCCGAGGAGTGTGGGTCAAACTCGAGACGATATCCCTGTGCAAGTTTGGCTTCAAAGCATTGTTAGGTATACGGGAGGCACATGGGATAAATGTGTAGGTCGAAAGTGAAGGGCCGAAGTGGTGGAGTTAAGGTACAAAGAATTAAATATGAACTTATTGGTATACTTTGAATTGTATTGATTTGTACATTTTGGAAAATAGTAAACGACCTTGATAAATTACGAAATTTGGGTAAAGTCATGTATTCGTAATGCTAAACAACTTTTGTATTTTAACTTGTTACTAAAAAGATCAATTAAAACTTGTAATCAGATGATTTTGGTTACAATAGTTTTTATTCATTTTAGCAATACAGATTTTAGATGTTGTTTTAACCCACGAAACGAGCTCATTTTTATTGATTTAGGACAAATTAAAGTAAAACATTATTCTGAACACTTTTCATGTTTTGAACTTTTTCAAAAAAAAAATCATCTTAGGGCAGTTTCTTTTCGTTTTCAACTTTAGATTTTTCAGTGGAATTCCGTCTAGGTTCTTCTATCAAGTTTTTCTCTCAACTTGTTTAGTTTCTATAAAATTTGTTTGCGTGGCCACTTATAAAATTTGATTCCGTACAACTTTTGTTCTTTAAGTTTTGGTCAATTCAAATTATTTAAGTATGAAACATGACATTTTTATACTTCTTCAGCAAGTTACTCACGATTAAATTATACTAACTTTATTTTCTTGCAGAATGGTGGGTCTTACTAACTTTTTATGCAGGGCTAACCCACCATATTTTTATTTCTATTTTGTTTATTTTATACTCAATTTATATTTCGTTGTGTACGGGTAAGAAACTAAATGCCACTGTATCTCAGGAAACTACCCCTTCTACTCGGTGCCGGTGGAACAACTTGTCTTGCTTGTAACAAGAATTAAATGTACTTTTATTTGTGTCTGGTGGACACGTGGGTGTTAAATCTTGTATTCATACCAATATACTTGTATACTAACCCATTTTGTGTCTTCCCATCTCGGGTGCGTTCTGTTTGAGTGCAGCCGAACTTCCTTTGCAGGATTAGTTGAGACTACGGTGGTGACGAGAAATAACTATAGTTGTTGGACATATCGCTTGAACTTTTTTTGTTTTCTTGAGCTTAGAGTTGATATTAGTTTATATATTTATTTTTATTTTTTTTTATGACCTTAGTATTTTGATAATTTGGCATGGTTTGTAACTTTACATTATTTACGTTGTTTTCACTATTTATTGTTACTTTAAAGTTGGAGGTATTGGGTAGTTATGAAATTATGGTGGATGGTTTGGTTAGCGTTTTGTTTTTTTTTTTTTTAATCCCTTGTAATCTTTTGAGTATGGAAATTTATTTAAACCTTACAAAGACAAGAACATTTAGATTTTGTTCTACCCTTAGGATTTGGATAATGGAATATTGATTGGGGTTTAGTCCTAATGTAATATTTAATTGTCCAAATTTCATGGCGTGACAATGGGAGAAACATTTGAGAAGAGATTGGACTTATAAGAAAAGTTATGGGCGAAAATTTGGCCTGGTCCAGTCCACTTGGGCCTGGACTTAGGTCGGCCCACTGTCAAGTAGTGTGGGCTGCTGTTAAAATTTGGTTTCAGCTGGTCCACGTGGCAAAAATCTAAGTCCAGGTCCAAGCTCACTCAAAATAAGGTCTAATTGATAGATATATATATTATATAAATTATTTATGAGGGAAATAAAGCAAAAAAAAAAAAAAAAGTACTATAGTATTTTAGTTATGATTAATGAAATATTTAGTTATGTTTCATGTATTATTTAGTTACGGCTTATGTTTTTTTAGTTATGACTAAAAAAGTATAAAGTTATGTAATTTTCTTCTTTTGTTATAATATTATTTTAGTTATGATTTCGGAGAATTATTTGGCTATGCCTCGTGTGGTTTTTAGTTATGACTTTTTTTTTATTTTTTTGTAGTAATGAAGTATCAAGTTACGTCATTTTCTAGTTTAGTTTTGACTAATTTTCTTCTTAAGTTATAACATTGTTTTAATTATGATTAATGAGATATTTGATTATGCTATATTTTGTAATTATGACTCAAAAAATATAAAATTATATTATTTATATATTTAATTATAAAGTGCGTACATAGTCTTTACCTAAAAAAATAAAATAAAATAATTAATTTATATATGTATATAAATAAAAAATAAAAAATGGGTCTATCGGGCCAGGCCGGGCTAAATGAAACAAATGGTACAAATTCAAGGTCTTAGGATGGATTCGGACATGGATGAGTCGGACCGGGCTTTCAAACAAACGGTCCAAATTTAAGTGTTTAGGTTGGGTTTAGACCCATGCATGGATGAGTCAGACCAGGCCACACTGGGCTGCAAACAAATTTCAAGTGGGCCGAGAATCGGTAGACCAGATTTACACCCTGATCTTCTTCTCCAACTTCTTTGGAGAGAGAGAGAGTGTGCATGGTTACAAGAGAGAGAGAGAAGTAATGTAGCTGGATAGGCTCAGCATATGTTTCAAACGGGTGATTATTTGGTACTTTCGGAGTATAAATACGTGGTATTCTATAAGATTTTGATTGATGAAAAGGCATAAGGGCCAACAATTCATGTTAGAGATGAAAAAACAATATAAGACTACGTAATTAATGATTGATTTGAAATATGACTATATTTATTCCGAGAGTATTGAATAATTTCCCGTTTCAGACAGTGATGAAAAGTGAAAAGTTCTTATTGATAAAGTTATTTCGTCGCCTACGAAATAAGGAGAGTTGGCTTTTAATGGTGGCATAGGCATGGTCTATATTGCACAGCCACGTCATTTAGGAATTCTATAGAGAAACAAATGAAAATGTTATTATAGTTCAATTTCTAAGTTTAATGATATGTAATAAAAAATAATTAATTGATAATTAATGAAACTATGATAAAATATATATATATATATATATATTTTAAATATTACAATAGATGAAAATGATTGAGTTTGAAAAATGAATCTAAACTTTAAATCAAAATAATACTTTTCAAACAAAAAAAAAAAAAAAAAATCAACGATCAAAGTCTATATATGGAATCATAAAACACTCACAAGAAGATTTATTTTATGATCGGTAATCTATTCTATAATCTCTTTTTGTGCACGTAAAATCATTGTGAGAGATTCGGGATAAATTGTCATCATTTAAATTCCATGGTTGTAATAAAAATTTTCTATTATGAATAGATCGAAGGCATTTTGGGATTCAGAAGACTCGCTATTACTTCAATAATTAGAAATGTTTATTTTATTCAATTATGTTTATAAATCATTTATGAAAAAAATCAAAGTCATTCAATTACTATACCTTATGATTTTATTAGATTTATTTATAAATAAATGGATAAGAGACATTTTTAGCTCTTAAAAAATGCGTTCTTTGTCATTTCAGACTCTCAAACTTTAAATTTGTCATTTTTATCCTTAAAATGTCTCCTATGTGAAAGATTTACTGGCATACAACCTTTTGAAACGATGATGTGGGCTAAGTATAATTTGTCTCAAAATTATATCTTTAATTCCCTTTCTTTTTTTCTTTTTTCTTTTTTTTTTTTTTTGAAATATTATTACAGAAAACTATCCTAACTGAGATATGTCACATTACTTTATAAATTCTATTCATTATATAAAAAAAGAAAAAGAAATCAGGTATTGGAACATATTTGAAAAAGTTAAGTGATTCGTGATTAAATCAATATTTAATTATTGCAATTTCCAATCAACTAAAACTTACAATCTAAATCATCAAGCACGTACGAAAGTGATTTAGATTGTTGTTTTCAAAAAACGATAAATCGACACAAACGATTTTTACGTGGAAAAACCACAATTGAAGCACCTTCAATTGTGATAAAAAAAACCACAGGCGAAACACCACTAATCAATCCACTACTGAAGAAAGAGAGATTACAAAGATAACAAACAAATTACCCAAACGCTTCCAATTTGTCTTCAAATCTTCTGTACATCTTTCACCACCACCTTCGTCTCGGAATTGATTAGATTGAAGTTGAATCCACAACTTCCATTGTCGAATCAATGACCACGTGTAGTATCAAACTCCTTCAACACTCCATGCTTGAATCTCCGAATTCCACCGAAGAAGAACACTCTTGAATATGAACAATCAACCTCCTTGATGTGTGCTTATCAAAACATAAGTTTAATTCTAAATCAAAACATAAAAAAAAAAAAAAAAAAAAAAAAAAAAAAAAAAAAAAAAAAAAAAAACACTAACAAAAATCCCCAAAAGAAAACCCCAAAAACCTTAAAGTAGATATCTAAAACGTAATCCTAGATTTGGACTTAAACAAGTACTTATAGAAAATAGAGGCAGCGAAGCTCGCTTGAGCGATGACTCTCTCGCTCGAGCGAGGAACCAAATCCGCGTGTTTTCCTTAAGTGACTTCGCTCAAGCCACGCTACCAGCGCTCGAGCGTACAATAGTCCTTCTCAGGTTTTTGACAGACAAAAGCAACTTTTGCTCGAGCAAGAACACCTTCGCTCGAGCAAGCAAGACAACAAACTTAAGAAAATTACAACTCAATAAAACATATTTGTTCACGGGATTGACAAGACTAAGGAACCTAACAATATTAATAAAATCTTTCTAATTTCATGGGATTGTTTCATTGTGCCTCTTGGTTTAATAGCTAAAATCTATCCTGTTTGGAAGTGTTTGATTAGGATTTAGGATTTTGACAATTTCATGATATCTAGGGGTGTTAAAAGAATAATAAAAAATCGGTGGAACTGATAAATCAATTCAATCTGATCTAAATCGTTAGTTTGGTCTAGTTTTATTAGTTTTTGTTTTGATTTTGGTTTTGAAAATGGTTGAATCATTCAAATCAGTCCAGTTCCTGATTCTAGGGCTTTGGTTACGGTTCCAAACTGAAACAGACCGTGATATATTTATTTATTATTTTTTTATATTTTTATATGTAAAAATTAAAATATAAAAAGTCTCTTATAAGATTTGAACACTAACTTTCATCTTGAAAATTGATAAATTCTAATTAACTTAAACAAATTAGTTGTTGTTAATTTATTTACTATTATATAGAATTTCTAGAATTGTAAATCGGACTAAACCAATTTTTACCTCTCCATAATTTTCCTCATAATCTTATTTATAAAATTGATTGTCAGAATCAAACATTCCAAAATATAGGTTAATTGGAGAGGGAAAAACTATCTCATTTATTTAGTCCTCCAAATTATAATATGAGCATATATGAGAGTTTTTGTTTTATTTATTTATTATAGGCTATATCATGGGAAACCAGTCATTCCCATGATAAGATTTGAACTCTTTACTTGAACTTCCTACAGACGTACACAAGTCATGATCAATTAGATTAGTATCAGCTGGTTTAACTTTTAATATTCGATTAGCTTAAAATTTGATGCTCATGATTGGCATAAAAGAAGCTTATCGGTCAAACTTAAAATAAATAAATAATTAAAAAAAGAAAAAAGAAAAAAGAAAAATAAAATATATATATCGATTATGACATGTAAGTTGATTTTGGCACAATAATAATCATTATCTATGAAATTTTCAAGCAACTAAAAACTAGTAAATGCATACTCAAGGCTTGAGAAATCTGATTCACAAACAAAAACCTTTGCAAAATGAAAATGTCATAAAAACATTACAGCAAACTCTTCAATCGCATTGTTAAATTACAAGCAAGCAAGCAATCCCTACCCAAGTCTCAGGCTCGAGAGTTCTTTTGTGCCCGGTAGCTCGTTGAAATCGAAACTTTCAAGCCTTCAGTTTCCATTTTCTAGGCCGGAAACGAATGACAACTTACATCTGCCTAATTATTATCCACCACATCGTTCACTACAAGGAGGATCAAAATGAAGCTGCCATTTCATGACAATGTGATATGCTCTCTGTTGCATGGATCATAAAAATAATGAAGTAAAATAATTAGACTCAAATTTCTAACATCTGAATTCAAAATTAAATTTGAAGTATGCTTGTGGTTCATTTACTCGAAAAGTCTTTATTAGTTCTTCAATTTCAAGAGTGATTGAGAACTTCATCGGATTCCTCAGAGGGTTTCAAAAACCATCGGCCAAGGCGTTCAGATGCCTTATTCACCTGTAACACAAAGGTCCAAAATTTTAATTTAATTTTCTTTTCAATCTAAGTACAAAAACTGTTCATTCTTAATTTGTTTTCACAATTTAAGTGGACTTGTTTTCATTTACCTGTTCATCCCAATCGGTTCTCCATACCATGAAGGCTAGTGCAATAACTTGCATTACCACCCCCGTGGTCATTCCTATCCATATTCCCTACATGAAAAATATGGAACCCGAGTCATAGAATTTTCACTTGTAATGTTAGCAAACATAATTTTTTTTTTTTTTTTTTTTTTGTATCATAGACCCATTTTTTTTTTTGTATCATGGACCTATGAAAAGCAGAACCTACCATAACTATAAATAAATGGATATTTTTCGGGAAAGCTTGTGGAGAAAGGGACATATTTTTTATTTTTTATTTCCTTGCTTTAAGCAAAAGAAAAATCCTATCCACCAGATCATTTTACATTTCAATCTGAATTAGAGATTCTGTGTATAGCTAGCTACAAGTGTCCCTTGATGACATATGCATCTGATCATATATGTATTACCATATTTTTTTTTTTGTATCATAGACCTATACTAAATTAAGCCCGGTTATTTACCTTGACTTCAAGATCAGCCACGTATGCAAGCAAAACTCCAATCGGAATTCCAATCACATAAAAGCAACAAAGGTTAATACCATTACCTTGACTTCAAGATCAGCCACGTATGCAAGCAAAACTCCAATCGGAATTCCAATCACATAAAAGCAACAAAGGTTAATACCAGCGACTATGCTTTGCAAACCAGCACCAATCGCGACCCCTGCTAGCACGATTTCAACAGTTAAATCTTTTCAGTCGATGGTAATATGGTTTTTTATATTTTCAAAAGCGAAATTATCCAAAAAAGAGTCGCTTGCCTGTGAGTACCGGTTGAATGCTATTTAACAACATGGTGAAAGCTAGAAGGACAGATAGGTCGGAAACAGTTGCTGCAACTTCCTCGTTGCTTGTAAACAAGTACGCTATGTCATGACCGAAGATTAAACAAAGAACGAAGAAGATTAATCCAAACAGAACAGAAGTACACAATATAACTTTAACTGAAAACTTTGCAGCTCTAGCATCTCCTCTTCCCAATTCGTTCGCTACCCGCACACTATTTTTCCAAAGATAACAAATCAAAAATCAAACAAGGATAAGATAATAAAATAAATAACTAATTAAGTAATTAGTGCATACCATGCAGCGCCGAGAAAGCCAAGGCACAACATAAATTCCCAAGCGCTGATATTAAGGCTGCAAAAGTCGTGGAATTAGGAGGAGCAATATTTGTGGTTAAGTGAAGAGTGAAAAGGAAAAAAATATAGAACGATCCATACCAAATCGAGAAGGCAGAAATGGCAACCTCTGCATTTGACATGTATCCCGCCACTAGAATTAAAACAGAATTGTACCATATCTCTAGGCTATAAAATAAAAAAACAAAACAAAACAAAATCAACGAATAAGTGGACTAAGGAAATTTCGCTATAGCAGAATGACAAAGCGACATTTAGAGCTAAAAGGAAACAAATAGCTGGTTTTTCTCTATTTTTTTATCTTCTTCCCCCTTTCAATACCCAAAAAATTAAAAAATAAAATAAAATAATATTTTAGATTTTTTTTGATATTGCTAGTTTTTTTTATACCATGTGCAATTTAGAGTTTGATTCTTTTGATGCTACATCTTGTAGTGTAATTCTAAATATGCCATCTATTCTAATACTTACAATTTTTTCCTACTCGAGTAAATTTTCACTTTTTTTGTAGCTTAGATTGCAATGGTATCTCTTATTGAGTATATTTTCAGGAAAATAAACTGAAATGTTGTTTTCTAAGCACCTAGAAAAAACTAAAGTACAAGCTTTTGTTTTCTCTAGGTGTTGACGGCAAGAATTTATTGAATGCATCGTTTGGGCTCCTAATAAATTAAAACTTGCTCTTGCTACTTAGCCTAGACCCTTGAGCATCATTGTATATGGACATATTGTAAGAGTAACTCATTACCGTCTGGGTGGAATTGCCACCTGACCGTTTATCTTAGCAAGAATTATTGCATTAGTATAATGAATGCGCATATTTCAATTTAAGTAACTATATGAAAACATTTCAAATGATTTGAAAATGGATCGTTACCAAAGCATTATGCCTGAGGATACTGAGAGCTTTACAACAGGCCATAAATCAGAGAAGGCGGCAGTGGTGAATCCTTTCCATGAATGGGGGCACCAACCTCCAAAAACAAACACAAACTCTCCAAGAACTACTAACCAAGAAGATATGGCCAATGCACCCATTGCGCCAGGTATTCCCAAGTCTAGTATGCTCACAAAGATCCAAGACAAGAGCACATGGATCGCAAATGTGGAAGTGCAGATACACGCCACGATCATGTTCTTCAATTGCGCTTGTAGGTACATTTGGATGGTCACAGCAAAGACAAGGCTATAGATAAAAGCAATAAACCATAGGGCTATATTCTTGGCTACTTTTGCTATAGCTTCTTCTTCACCAAGTAGACGAAAAATGGGAGCTGTGAAGATGAAGAGAGGAAGCAAGATTGTTATAGTAACGAAATCGACAATCCATGATCGTTGCAAGTATATACCCATCATGTGGTGTTGCCCTGCCCCAAATGCTTGGCCACATAGAGTTTCAGTTGCGCTCGACATTCCCAACTGCAACAAGAATAACTAAAAAATTATTGGAAAATAGAAAGGATAGTCTTAGAATATGTTACATGAGCTAACTTTCATCTCCATTGGCATAAATTTTTTCAGAGCAAGGATCCTCTATAGTGATTTTTCCCTAAAGTTTCCTAAAGTGCTACAGTGTATGGTTGAGATTTACTGGCAAGTCACATCAATTTTTCTGATGTGACTTGCCAGTAAATCTCAACCACACAATATAGCACTTTAGGAAACTTTAGGAAAATTTCACTCTAGAAGATCCTTGGTGATTTTTTCAAGCCCTATTTTCTAATGTGTGGTATTGTTATTCAAAGGCGACAAAGGCGACAAATAAAATGTGATCGTAAATACAATATAATGACTTATATATGCAAATGCACAAACCTAGCTATAGGATTGTCAAAATCTACTATAATAGCACGGAATTAAAAAGGTGCATGCTATTAATTTATAGGTTAATGATGGTGAGATAAAAGAGGCTAACGAAGTAATTTCACGAGGATTAGAAAGGGAAAAAAGTTAAGTTCATTGTCTCAAAAGAGCATCTTCAACGATGGATCAAAATTTTTATTAAATTTGAGTAAAAAATTCATTTGATATCAAGTGCTCCAATGGAGGCTTTTAAAGCTTTATTAGAACACCAGTCGACTGGGCGGATGACGGGGCGGATGTCCGGCTGGTCGACTAGCCAGTGTAAAATTTTCACAAATTTTTGCCTTGAGGTGTTCATCAAGGGGGTCGACCGGGCAGGCGATCGGGCAGATGTCCGAGCGGTTGACGAACCAGTGTAAATTTTTTTACAAATTTTTGCCTTGAGGTGGTCATCTGGGGGACATATGGTGGTGAAAATCTAACGGTTATGAACAGTGATTTGATGAAAGGCACATCCATCCTCAATTTGATGAAAGATTTGAGAAATCTTGGATTTGATAAAAGATTTGGTAAACCATTGGAGCAGAGTTTTTTCATCAAATTTAAATTTGATGAAACATTTGATGAACCATTGGAGATGGTCTAACTTAGTTAAATTTGTTGTTAAGGAAGGAAAGGTTAATGTAGATATGCCAAAACTATAAGATTATCTATATTTTCTTCAAACCTCACAAAATGAAGTCAGTCTAATTTAGGGGTCATTTGGGAACATGGTTTTTTGTCTAAAAAAACCAAAAAGTTAAAAATAAAGAAATTCAAAAAATAAAAAACTTGTTAAAAAAGCAAATCATACAAACCAGTCAGTCATGCATTATATTATTATTTTTTTTTTGGATAAGTAAGTCATATTATAACAGTCGTTCATTATATAACTGAAAAAGGCCATCCTCAAACACCTTAACTTTTTTCCATTAAGTCGAAAGGCCACTAAACAAGTCAATTCTCAAACGATCACTTAACCTATAAATTTGGATAAATTACATTGATCTCCCTTGAAGTTTGAAAAAAAAATGCAATAAGTCCCACAAGTTCTTGCATAATTACATTGAACTCTTTTAAAATTTTAATTTATATAACACTTCAGCCCCCTCCCCCCCCCTCTCCTTTTTTTTTTTTAATCAATAATGCATTAGTTAGATGGATAGAAAAATGATATTATTGTTATCTCTTTTCTAATGAAATTTTTTTTTTCTTGTTTGTCTTTATGTTTTACACCATCTACATTAGTCCTAATCAATTTAGTCTCACTGAAAAAGAGGTCAAGTATAATTATGCAAAAATTATAGTGCTTGTTGTAATTTTTTCAAATTTCGGGGGAGGTCAATGTAATTTAGCCTATAAATTATAACAATTTTACCATTGACAATTAATGACAAATTAGATTAAAAAAAATTAATAAGGAGAGGGGCTTACAAGCATGCCATTGGAAAAACGAACAATAAGAGTTTGGACAAGAGCATAGGCAGCAAGATCAAGTTCACTAATGTGTCCCATGAAAGATTGAGTAATGACCAATGTTCCAAATGAACTCACTCTTGCTAATATACCTGGAAATGCTACCCTCCATATCTTTCTTGATTCTACCCATACCCTTTTTTTCAAATCACCACCACCACCACCACCACCACCACCATCTCCTCCTTCTGTTGATGTCAATAACCTCTCTTCTATCTTGTTATTACCATCCATATTTCTGCAAAACATAGTATAAAGATTAATCAAAATGTATCTGTTGTTAGATTAATGTAGCTTAATGCTGTGTTTGGTTAGAGGATTTGGAAAGGGATTTGAAAATGGAAAGGGCAAATGTGTGTGAAATTAGGTAAAATATAAATATATTTTATTCTCATTTCACCAATTTTTTCCCCCTTTCCAAATCCTTTCCCAAATTCCCCAACCAAACACAACAAAAATTCTTACAAGAGTAATATCAATCAACTGGGTTATTTCAATTGGTCACTCCCATATATTCGGAAGGTTAAGAGGTCAATTGTATTGTATTGTTCATTTGTTTTCATTATGTTTTTTTTTTTTTTTTCCTTTTCTATTGTGGACTATTTATCGTGATGGCTATTGTGGACTATTTATCGTGATGGTTGTTGGGTTATTGGGCTATGATTGTTCATATTGATTTAACTTCTTTTATATTTATAATTAATCTTTTATCAATTAGCAAAAATAAAAATATAAAAGTGGTAATGATCACGTTTGAATATTTGATATGGCATTTTACATGACATTAATCACATTATCTGATAAATTTTCATGAGTCATGCTTTGACCTACGGTGGTTATGTTTCTCACAATTTTTAAAACCCATGCCAAGAAATGCATAATAGTAAGGACAATTTACTGTATAACATCATCAAAACTCAATCCCCTCCCTCCCAAGGGCGAGGGCTTCCTCTTTGTTCTACTCACCTCCTCTATTTGCTTAACATTTTTCTGTCATTTAAGGCATGGAAGAGGTGAATTAGACCAAAAGGGTAGTCCTCGAAAGGGGAGGACAGAGTAATGCTGTAACAAAAGTTATAAGGTACAATAAGATATAGTTTATCAGAGTAAAAATTCTCTCAAACTCTATCTTTCTTAAAAATATACAAAACCTTTAGGGTGTGTTTGGTAACGTTTACGTTTTCAGTTTATATTTACAAAAATTTTATAAACTAGTTTCTGTTTATTTTTTGTTTATTTTTAGAAAAACATAAACTACAAACGTGTTTGGTAATTGACAAAATGTTTAAAAAAAATTTAAAATATAAAAAAGAGTGTGTTACCAAACGGCACCTTAATATTATAAAATTTCTCTCTATATATAAAGTACCAAAATTGTAGAAAGACTATTAAGTTTTATTGCCATAGATTTCAAATGCCAAAAATTGTCTTGAAAAATCTCCAAAAATTAAAATTAAGAAAATTGATGTCAGTTTTTCAACCTAGTAGTGCTCTAACTTATCCCCATTTATATAAATATATTTAGGGAAATTTGGTTATAAACCCCCTTTACCTTCCTTTCATTGTTAGAAGGACTAAAAAAAAAATCATACTTTCTAAACCCCCTCATAATTATAAAATCTTGCATAAAGGACAAAATTTATTATTTAAATATTTTATCAGACTATTATACCCTCACATATACACAATACAAAATTTATCTTCTCTCTCGTCTCTCACTTCTAACCCTAGCTTCCTCCATGGCCGGAGCTGTGTCATCCCTAAGCTCCGACGATCTCTCTCTGCATCTTCTCAACTCTCCTCCTTCAACTCTCCTTCAACTGTTCATCTTCTATCTCGTCTCTCTCTTCTAATCCTAGCTTCCTCCATGGCCGGAGTTGTGGAGAACTTGCAAATCGCGCTGATACATATATATATATATATATATGTGTGTGTGTGTGTTTGTGTGTTTTGAGATTTGAATTCGAATATATATGTGTTTTGAGATTTGAATTCGAATATATATATCTATATATGTGTGTGTGTTTGTGTGTTTTGAGATTTGAATTTGAATATATAGATTTTTGAAAGCTCAAAGTTTTAAAAATCTGAAAAATCGGTAAAATCTGAAAAATCTGAAGAACCAGGGTATGAAAAATTGAGATTTCTCTAAAATTTTCAAATTATAGGCCTGATTCAAAGATTATAGGCATGATTCAATATTTTTCAAAGTAAACATCGATTGATTCAAGGATTATAGGCCTGATTCAAAGCTCAAAGCTCAAAGTTCCATCGATTTTTCAGAGTAAACATCAAATTTCATTTGATAGAACCAGAGTAAAATTTTACTCTGGCTCTATTACTCTGTTTTATTCATTTGACAAAACCAGAGTAAAATTTTACTTTTATACAGAGTAAAATTTTACTTTTAGCTTCAGAGTCTTACAGTTTACTTATTTTTCAGAGTAAAATTTTACTTTTAGTTTCAGAGTGTAAAATTTTACTCTCACTCATAATAAAATTTTACTTTTATACAGAGTAAAATTTTACTTTCATACAGAGTAAAATTTTACTCTGAAATACATAGTGAAAATGTCTTAATAGGAGAGCTGAAAGATATGAAGGTAATATAGTAAAAGAAACAAGTTTTAAAATATCAGGGAGTTTTGAATGTACTTATATAATTCTTATCCTTTTGAAAGAGAAATTAGATAGTGAGGGGGCTATGACCAAATCCCCCATATATTTAATATATAACTTTTTTTTTTTTTTACATATATTAATTGAAAAAAATTCTATAATATACATCCCTCAAGGGAAACATGTTAAGATGAATGCATACTTTAACCACACTAAACTAACCATTTACTATTTTTTATTTATTTATTTTATATATATGTAAATTATTTATTTTAATTTTATTATAGTCGGGCGGGCTTGGGCTAGCATTACATCCTTTATATAGGGTAAGCGAAGCATCACTATCCACTCTTCTGATAAAAACAAAAACATTCAGACCAAAGCAAAAACAAAAATATTAAAATAGCCAAGGCAAGACTGAGGTTGGTGACAGCAAGAAAATAAAATAAAATAAAATATAAAATAATAATTAAATAAAGAAAATAAAAGAAAAACAGACCAAGAGAGTGAATGTTTGTTGAGTGTCTTTCTTCTGTTTTGCTTTGTTTTTTTTAAATTTTGTTTTTCATGTTAGGTAAGGTACATTTTTGAATCGGTTTAGCTCGTTTTCAGTTGGAGTTTTGGACCGTCTAATTTGGCTTGTGGGTTCATATTTGGGCCCCGTTTCGATAATCTGAACCATTTAATGTGTAGAACTTGTAAAGTATCATAACCCTGTAAAAAAATCACATTGATCGGATATCAATAGCTATTTGATCAAATCTATTTTGTATATAAAAAAAATAAACGGTAAAAAAATAAATTGTTGACAGATATCTGAACTGATCAATAGCTATCAAAATCCGATCAACATGATTTTTTATAGGAATATAGTACTCGATGAGTTCGACATATTGCACGGTTCAGATTATCAAAAATGGGCCCAAAAATAGGCCCACGAGTGGACTGGACGGTCCAGTCTTGATCTCCAATTAGAGACAAGCAGAACCCTTTTTGAATATACACACACCAAAAAAAAAAAAAATGATGAAGAAGAAGAAATATACACACACCAAAAAAAACAAAATGATGAAGAAGAAGAAGAAGAAGAAGAAGAAGAAGAAGAAAGAAAGAAAGAAAGACAGTCTTGATCTCCAATTAGAGACAAGCAGAACCCTTTTTGAATATACACACACCAAAAAAAAAAAAAATGATGAAGAAGAAGAAATATACACACACCAAAAAAAACAAAATGATGAAGAAGAAGAAGAAGAAGAAGAAAGAAAGAAAGAAAGAAAGAAAGAAAGAAAATGAAAGAAAGAAGAAAGAAACAAAATGAAAGAAGACAAAAAACCAAGCGGTCCTCCAACTCAAACTTGACCCTAAACTGGTTGGTTGGAATTCTATTCTCAACAAAAATAAAAAAATACAAAAAAATAAATAAATAAAATAAAATAAAGTAAATAACCAGAAAAACAAAATTTGTCCTTCTTTCCTTCATATAGGTGAAATTAGCGAATACTGTTAGCCAATGTTTGATTTACAGGAATGAATGATTATTCTACTGAAATATTCATACTTATATTTAATTCAGTAAGAATAACAACAATGATCTATATTTCAAATGGAATGATTATTAATCAATTTAGAAAAAAAATGATGTTTCCATTGGGAGGCCAAGAAAAAATAATTCTATTTCAAAATCATTCCTGTGACTCTGAGCCAAACACCATGTTAGGATAGGTCAAACATCACCAAGTCCTAGTTGATGTTAGGTGCCGGCATTCATTTAGGAGTAATTAATGTTATATAAATAAAATTTATGGACACAATCTTTTTAAGAGAATTATTAAGATGTGGAACAAAAAGATCATCCCAATGATTTTTATTTTTTATTTTTTTTTTCAATCAGAAAAAGAATAATTAATTATTCCTAGTTATAAATATGAGAAAAAATTATATCAAATAACTCAATAAAAATAATTAATTAATTTTTGTGCTTGACAAAAATTGATCCATCAATATTTTTCTGTCAGATAGAAGCAAGGACAGAGCTAGAGAGGGAGGTCAAACATTATGTGTATCCAACTCCAATTATATATTGTAATTTGAAAATTGTATCATATCAATAGTCAATATAAACATGGACGAAACTAGGATCCTAATACCGGATGGGCCATAGGTAGGGTGCAAGCCATAATTGGATTCAAAACTTGCCCCGATCCAATTCTAGTAATACTCGATATTGTCCATGCCTATCCAAACTCGACTTGCCAACCTAAGGTATTTAGTTCAAGTGCTATTAAAACTCAATAAATTTAGCTTGTGTTAGGCACGTGTTACTTACAAAAGGTTGAGTTGTGCAATTGAACTTAATTTTTTTAGACTTTTTTTTTTTTTTTTTTTGGTAGAGAACTAGAATATATTTTTTTGGGTTGATTATAACTTGTTTATAAACCAAAAAAACTCATTCATAATTTCATAATCTAAAAAAGAAAGTTAAAAACAACAACAAAAAATAAATTATTCATAAAAACATGTCTCTTAACTAGTTAATAAAAATCAAATAACAAATAATCACACTTCAAATGTCACACAAAATAGATTCAATTGTTAAAATAAGTTATATTTATAGTATTGCTCTAACATATATTATATTCAATTTCAATTCCGTTCAAACACGTGCCATATTGGGTTAAACATTTGCTCTTGAAGACATGAACTAGGAACCATTGAATGGGAAGGGTGCCATGCAAACAAAAAAGTCTCCAGTGCTCTGTTTTAAACCATTGCAAGTAAGTAGCAAGGTAGTCTCAAGGAGAGGGGACACTGCCCCTATAGTCTACACTGTAGTCCGTCCCTGAATATAAATAAAGATATTTAAAATAAAAGGCAAAAATTGACAAATCAAAACTAAATATTTTTTTTTTCCTTCAATTATAACTATCAAAATTGAACTTGCCGTTCTTTTTTATCAGAAAATTCATCTATGATTGAACACAGTGATTACTTACACAAATTGGACATAATAATAATAATAAATATGTTATGAATACATGTTTCTAGAAAGGTGATGAGAGACTTACTTTGGTTAGCTAGCCAGAGAGCCGAGCAATCTTTCTGGTACTGTGCCTCCTATTCATATAACTTGATCAAGTTCTCATGACTCTGTGTGTGTGTGCGTGTGAGAGTGAGAGAGAGAGACAGAGAGAGAGAGAAGTAAGTGGCGGTTGAAGATACTGATGGACTTTGAGAGAATAGAGGCACTTATATTACCCTTTTTTTTATTTAAAAAAATTGTATTTTAATAGTTTGAAATGTTACCTTAAACAAAATAAAATAATATGTTATCAAATGAAAAACATTGACTTAGGAAAAAAGTTGGCAAAATAGTAATTCAGTGTAAAAGTAAAAAAATAATTACACATCAATGGTAAACAAAATAAATATTAATAATTAAGATTTTAAAATTTTTCATGTATTTGTAAATATTTTTTTAAATTCCCACTGAATTATAATTCTCTTTTTACTGTCACAATGATTCAGTGATAGAATTAGAAAGGGGAAATTAGTTGCAGGTGATGTTTGTAAAATATATTACATATGTTGGAATTATGGTTTTTTATAAATTTATTTTTGGCCAATTTTGAGTCCAAATTTGAGTAGGATCCACATGTCTTTTGAGATAAATCCACAGAGGTGACGTGTTCCTTACCGCATGGCAAATTATACGGTGAAAACGATTCGTCAAAACCATTTATGAGTGAATGGGAACTTGACGTCGTTTTCGGATTCGTGGAATGAATAATTAAAGAAGTAAAATGTGAATTTTCTTGAAATGGTTGTCCCACATTGAAACTTTAAGAGAGCTTATGTGTGTATATAAGCTCTAGGTGGACTTAGGTTGGGCCCGAAGGAGCACTCCAAGTTTGTAGAAGGGAGGAGTTATGAACAAAGTGGACTTTGGCTCAAACCAACCGCGCGCCACTGCCGTCCCCATCCAGGTGCGAGTTGTGGGTTGGGTCATAACATTAATTTTTTCAACAAAATTTATTTGAATTTTTTCAAACTCTTGTGGGAAATTTATTTGAATTTCTAAAAAAAATTAATTCAAATTTTGCATCAAATTTGAATTTAAATTTTCTGTCCAAACAGTGCCTCTTTCAGTCCAAAATTTTCTTTTAAAACATGATTTTGTAATTCTTATATATCTATACATATCTTTTATTTTACCTATTCCTTATTTTCTCGTCGACTCATGTAGACCTTGTGTTAATATTTTGTTAAGATTTGTCAAAAGAATAGTTTTGCTATCCAAGGTAGTTCGACTTTAAAGGGATGTTATATTGACTCATCCGACCTTTCTGGGATCTTACTTAGTTATTAACCAAATGACTCATTAGTGACATTTTCTACTCTTGTAACCTCAAATAAACCATGTATTTATTTGTTAATATATTATTTGATGTTCCCAATTTTTGGGGCATCACAACTTGGTATCAGAGCCTAGGTTCAACCCTTACCCATGCTTTTTAACCTGCAGTTAGAGACTATCTTGCCCCGACTATGTTATATTATTATAACACTACCTATGCTATCAACTTAAGGTCATCAAAAATATAAATTTTCTTGAATTACCTTAGGGTGTTTCTTCAAATTCCAGGCATAACAACATCAATTCATGAGGACGTTGTAGACACTCCATTTTTGACCGTACTCAAGACTTGGATGTTCTTGCAGGGTACATCCAGCGACAAGTTTGATCGCTCGTCAAGCACTCGACTTTCGCTACGAAATGCTCCAGGTTTGATCTTTCCAGATCCTATTTCCATTCTGTCTCATATTTGGACCATGTGTTGGTCTTTGCATAGTGTTGTTTTTGATGGCCTGCTGGCCATCATTGAAGGCTGCCGGCCATGGGCTTTGCCTTGCCGGCCATCAATGGGCCCTGCGAGCTATCAATGAGGCACTGCCAGCCACCACTGATGGTCGGCCGGCCACCAATGTTACAGTAGATATTTTTATAGATATTTTGATAGCTATTTGCACAGATTGGCTCATCTGCATGCACGTGGATGGCTGGATTTGTTTGAAGGCTTCTTGTATCTCCTATATATAGAGAGCTCATCTATATGCATGCAAAGGGTTACAAAGTTTAAGCTGGCAAGAATTCTCTCTCTCTCTCTCTTTCTCTTTAGAATCCTCTCTCTCTCTATATTTTGAGCTTGAAAGTGTGCTTTCTCAACATATTTGCACTAGCACCCTTAGCCAAATCCCTCCACCTTAGAGTTGAAGTTCTTGGAGGCCTTGTTTGAGCTCCTTGCAGTGGTTTTGGCTCGGAAGTTTGGCTGTTTTCTTGCTGTTTTAGTGTTGTGCTTCACGGGTAAGAATTTCCCTCTTTTAAGCTTTGTTTTACTTCATTGCTTGGCCACCTTTGTATGCTACTTTGAAGCTCGTTTTAACCTCTAAAAATTTCTATTTTTTTGGTCTTAAAATGTTGGTTTGAACCTTGTGTGGTTAGGGGTGGTTTCCTCCCTTGACTCTTTGACTTGTAAAGCCTTTTGAGCCAACTTCCTAAGCTTTTGAAACACCCTTTGTTTGGCCTTTCTACCATTGAAACTCAGAGATTTTTCAGTGGTAGAAACTTGGTTTTGAGGTCCAAAATAGGAGGAGGTGGCCTCCCCTCCTTGTATCTTAGTTGCATGTGTAAATGGCCTACTTGTTGAGCATATTTTTCTACAATCTCTTGACTTAATCTCAGCATGTTTTTGTGACTTTCTTGACATGTTATAGCTCTGATTTTGGTTGGTTGAGTCATTTGATACTTGCTTCTTACACTTGTAGTGTAATCTTGCTCACTAGCCTTGCGTGCCTAATGAGTTAGCTTATTATTCTAGCATGTTTTGGCTCCACTCCAGCATGTTTTGGCCTTGCTTTGGCATGCTTAAACTCTGTTTTGAGTAGTCTTGGTCCTTTGGGGCTTGCTTTGTATAACCATAGTGTAGTTAGCTTCACTAGCCTTGTGTTTTGAGGCCCTTAGCATGCTTTGCTTGTAATGTTTGCATGTTTTGGCATCATTTAGTATGTGATTTCGGAGCATATTTCTCTGTCATACTCTCACACATATCACTCTTTCATTGTGTTTGACAGTTGTGCCTTATGCTTTGTTTATGAGCCAATACATGAGCATGCTTTTCTTGCTTTTCATGCTACCATCTCAGCACATCTTAGCCTCTGTTTCGGCATGTTTGAGGTCTGTCCAGGGCTGGTTTAGCCATTTGAGTTTGGTATTGCATGGTTCTAGTGTAAATCTCTTCACTAGTTTTAATGCTTAAGTCTCTTAACATGTTGTACATGAGTTGTTTCCATGTTAGAGTCATATGTTTCATGCCATTTTAGCACTGAAATTTTGCCACCTCCCTCATTTCTTCATTTTTTTATTTTGTTTTGAGGCTTGGTTGGTCTTAAAGTTGTGCTTAAGCTTGAGATTGAGGCTTATGCTTAAATGGCTTTAACCCTCTCTTAGGGGTTTCTACTAGTCAAAGGCATGGTTTCTCTCATGTCTTAAGTCATCTTTTGATTGACCTCTCTCTCATTAGAGGACTTTCACATTGGACAAATCAATAAAAGAATCATTTGGTAACTTAAAATGTGTAAACAAGAATTGAATCAAGTAAAACATGCCAAGCTAAGCATGTTATGTGTGCATTGCATTGTGTTCAATCGGACGTTATATTGAACACAAGGAAGGTTGGTTCATTTCATACTTGAAGTGATGAAATGAGTCAATCTCCTTTGTCTCCATTGCCTTTGATCTTCCATGATAAGGTAATAGTCCTAGAGTCTTGTTTGTCTTGCATTTATTCAATGTGTACAAGTTGGAGCCTTGGCCATCATGCATTGAAAATGATTGATTGGTGGCTTTAGACCCAATGGTGCAACTCCTTTGATGTTTTAAGATGATAAGGAGTGGCATAGTACAAACATGTCCGTGGAAAAACCTCCATTTTTCTCTGTTTTGTGCTCTGTTGCAGTTTGGTGTCACAGCACACTAGTGGCCGACAGTTCTTCATTGCTGGCCGGCACTCTTCCATTGTTGGCCAGCAGAGGCACACTCTAGGCCGGTAGGCCACTGGTGCACTTCCTAGCATTGTTTTGGTAAGGTTTAGCAGAAAGCTCTTGGAGACACCCTACAAACAGAGCATCTAAAGAGCAAACCGGAGAGCTTTTCGAGACGAAAATCGAGGCATGCATGTTTAACTTCTTCAACAGAGCCGAGGCAGTGTTGTTTAGTGCTTACCTGTTAGTTAGCATGGTTTTGTAATTTAATTAATTAATTTGTTAATTAGTTAAGTGTTGTAATAATTAGTAAGTAGTTTACTAGTTATTCGTTGTGTTGTAATAGTTAGTCTAATTAGTTTAATTAGATTAGCCTAGCTTAGCTTAGCTTAGATTAGCTCAGCTTATTCATTCAGACCCTCCTTCGCGAGGACGCAATGTTGTAATAAGGGTGCATGCGTGTGTGCATGTCTTTCAATCCCACGTCTTTCTCCCTTTAATTTAACCACTTTCGATGGTTAGTTTTAGGGCATATTTTGATTAGAATACATTATGCTTGCATATTTGCATCCATTCATTTATCTTGCATGCACCGGGCTCGGCACAGCATTCAAACTACATCGTATTTCGATACCTATTTGAATACATGTTTCAAATTTTTGCATTCATATGCCATCTCAGATAGCCGAGCCTATTTAATCACATTATTGCATGTGTTGCATTAGGCATTGCTTGTATTGTTCGGGATCATGCATTATTTCTAACTAGTTTTCTGTTTGGCTTGGAGTACACTGTAAGTTTTACGCTTTAGCATACTGCAGGAGATGTGTATGTTGCCATGATAGCGTGCTTACCATAAGGCTATTTGCTTAAATGCTAAACTGCATGAATGCCTGTGGATGAAGGCTTTGTTACTTGAATTAGAACAATTCATCAAATGTGAGTTTTAAGTCCACTTTGCGAAGTGGCAAATCATGTTTTAAGCCCACTTGAGGGTGGCAAATCTGTGTTTTAGCCCACTTGCGAGTGGCACTTCCAAACCATTTTCGAAAAACAAACGTGAATTGTTTTGTTCTAATTCTTGCGATTTTAGTCTATACTTGTATGCTGTGCGCATTACATAGTAAGTTAGCTAAATAACTGGAATAAGAACACATATGTTTAT